ATTCTGTTGATAATGAACCACCTCTAAATGAAAATTCAACAAATTTTTGCTTCTCTTTTCCCCCCTGCTCTTTTTCTCCGATCAATTTTTGCTTCTCTTTTTCCCACTGCTCTTTCTCTTCGATCAACTTTTGCTTCTCTTTTTCCCACTGCTCTTTCTCTTCGATCAACTTTTGCTTCTCTTTTTCCCACTGCTCTTTTTCTTTTTTCCACTGTTCTCTTTCTTTATTCAACTCCAATTCAACCAAAACTTGATTTCTCTTTTCCCATTGTTCCTTTTTCACGAGTTCCAGTATGTCCTTTTGCAACTTGGATCTCTCATCTATCAACTCTCTGTTTCTTTCTTGAATTTTTATGGCATTATGTTTCATCTCTTCCAACTCTATTTTCGATTGCCTTAATTCTTCTCTGAGACTTTTTACAACCACCTTTTCCGTACGACGAAGGAAGGCTAAAGATAATTTTTTGAGAACAGGCATATTAGCATAAATGTCTAAACTATCCTGTATTCTCCGTAGTTATTTATACCGTACGTGTTTTTTTCCTAAATAATGTGATAATAAAAAATCATCACTTAATTCTTCATTGTTTCCATGAATTGAAATACTGTATCTGCGCATTCACGCATGCATGGTCAGCCCTATCCTTTTTCGATAGGAATGCTTATATGGAATAAATAATAAAAATAGGTGATACGAGAAATTCATAGAACGTAGGATCGTTATAAAAACCAAACATCTTCCTTTGAATTCTAAACAAGCTCTATTGTTAATACATATATTAATCCGTAGCCCCCCAAAAAACGATTACACGTAGAACTAAACTTTCAATGGAGGTTGATCTTTGTTTCGTAGTAGACTGCACCGGCTCTATGGCGAGTCACATTGATGCCACTAAGGAGTGCATAATTGCTGTAGAAGAATATATGGGAAAGATGGAACCAAAAATTAAAGTTCGTCTAGGCTTCATCGGTTACCGCGACCATTGTGACAGCAAACGTTTTGAGTGTTTAAATTTCACTGATTCGCACGAAGAATTTAAAGATTTCGTGGCGAAAGTTGTAGCTACTGGTGGTGGAGATACACCGGAAGACGTTCTGGGTGGCCTTAACGAGGCTATAACCACAATGACCTGGCGCAATGTTATCCGTGTCCTTTTGCACGTTTGTGACGCCCCACCACATGGTCTTCGTTTCAATAACTTGGCAGACACTTATCCGGAAGGCGACCCGAATGGCCTAACTGCAGAAGATGTACTTGAAAATATGAAATCGAAAAATATCTACTACTTTTTTGGGAGGATTAATAGCCTTACGAATGAGATGGTTCGCATATTTAAAAGTATACTCGGAGAGTTTGATGTATTTGATCTTGAAGAAGTAAACGATAAGCCGGAGCAATTGACCATTAAATTTTTTAATGCCACATGTTCCGCGATCACTACGGCTATATCGTTGAGAGAGTAGTATTATTGTTAGTAGAAAGTGTACTGATTCAAATTAAATAAAACTGTAATTGGTTTATATACTGTATATTCTGTATCACAACGCAGAAAAACGAAGTATATGTGCATTATTAAATATTAAAACACTCTAAGTGCAGAATATAAAATACTGTATATTTGATCGAGCTTTTTTTAAATATAAATATATACTGTATACACTGTATATCTCCCGAGGACCTTTTTCAATAAAAATGTTAAGTGTTATTATTCTTTTTTTTCGCATAACTACTGTTAATTTCTTCAAGGCTTCTTCCTTTTGTCTGCAGTTATTATTGTTATTTGCATCAGTCAAAAATGAATATATGAGAAAGTAAGTGTTCAGTAAAAGTTCAATCATTGAAATACCTCTGGAATAAAGATCGAGGCAAACCCGGACACTGCGGTGATCACGGCAAATACGAGAAAAGTGTATCCTCCGAGAGCACTCTGGAGTGCTGGAAATGTCAGTCCGACTAAGAATGCGCATAGCCAGTTGAGTCCTAGGCATATGGAGCCACCAGAACTTACACAATGGGTCGGTAATATTTCTGTTAAGACATGCGCGAGCAGTGGATTACATAAACGGCCAGTCAGCAATATTTTTTGATTATACAAGAAGTCATAAAAAGCATACCTGAGATTATCAAATAAGGAATTGGGCCAAGCCCGATCGCGAATGATGAGACAAATAATAAAACTAATAAAATAAAAGAGAAGCAATTTCCCTTATTTATTTTTAAACAATGGATATCCCTAGTGGTCGTATTAAAAATAAATTAAATTAAAAAATACCAGAGACCACAACTAACACATTGTAGCCGTGTAACGATCCGACAACCACCAATACTGATGAAATACATATTCCTGTTTGCGAAGTTAAAAGCAATGGTCTGCGTCCTCTTT